AAAATATAAACATAAGATAAGGAGATTTTATATATATTTTTTCGAACTAAATTGGTTGTTTAACAGGTACGAAAACATTATTATGAGGCTTTTCATGTTTTCAATGTCTTTCATGGCAAGAATTGGCTGGACCAATCCCTATTTCTACGAAAGTTGTTTTGTTTTTAGAATGTCAAAAAAGCACAATCTTTTAAGATTTAAAGTTTAAAAATGACGTAAGTTATAAATAAACAAATGTTCTTTGAAACACAAAAAATTCTTAATTCTTGTCATAATTCCAATTCGGCCAGAATTCAGATATCGAACTTGGTGATCACAAGGCCTCCAATATTGGTACAAGCAATCATTTGATTCCCTATCATATCCTCCTGCCGCAGGTGGATTAGATCTCGCATAGATTATAAATCGATCGAAGTAATCAGGATCTCCCCCATCAGATGGCAATTACGCCTCATCATGGTGGTCCAGTAATGAGAAGAGGTTTGGATCCTCATCACCCGACGTCCCTAGGAAATCTGCTTCTGATTCTAAACCACACGCCAATCAACACGGTTTAATCAAAAAATCTCAAAATTTGAAATATTAACGTTAGCGTTCTAATGTAAATGATGATGATGATTTATCCGATGGAAATTGATGATAAAGTACCTCAGAAAGGCAGAAACTCCGGACATTACTACTCCTAGATGTTACAGAAGCAAGCAATGGCAAAATCAATAGTTCAAAATAAAGATTAATGATGATGCCGATTTTATATCAGGAGAAGAATCAGACCACTTTCGCCTCTCAAGAAAATGAAAAGGAAATGTTCTATAAATCTTCTAGTAATCGTACCATTGAAACGCCTAATACTGATCACTGCTGATTCACCTTGAACTTAATTACTCCTTCCATCATTATCATCCACATTCGTTTTTTTTTTTGATCTGGGTGTTTAATTGCACATTAATTAGAAGGTTTATATAATACTTGTTCAACATTCTTGTACAATGATCTCAGAATTAAAAGAAATACTTCAGGTGAAGAATCAATGGACCGCGATGAAGCTCAAAATTTCGTAAAACGCCACGAGGGTTGTATTGCATTACGGCCTAGCTTAATGCTGTAGTCGGATGAGATCCAGGACCAAGGAAAATGGAAATAGTTGTTATAGACAAACATCAAAAATTCCTATTACAAAATTTGTTAAAACGCCACACAATCATGGATAAAAAATACCATCAAAATCTCGTGGAAGATAGTAAAGAATATTAAGTTGATTTCAAGCTGGCTAGAACGAAATTCTAAGCAAAGATTCACCATCAATTGAAAGAAATTCAAAGTTACATTCGAATTAAAATTTCCGATGATGGAAGTAAAGTTCGTGAACTATTCTTTATTGATCAAAGAATTGATTTGAATGATTGTGTCATAAATTATGGATCAATACATAGTAACCAAGGAACAATTCGACGCCATCACGAAATTTAAAGATGAGCAAATACGTTATAAACCTAATGAAATGGTCAGTAGTTTTAACGTCTACTTTTAGAATTATAAACAGTTCACATTCCTGATGACGATGATGCAATCATTTTTTGATTAAAGAAACCTTCTGTAGGTAGAGAAGTGGCCGGGGAGGAGATCGCGACGGATGTAGTGTGCGTGATGGAGGTCGTAAAAATCGGGATCGTGGTACAGCCGCAAATAAGTTGGTGATTTTATTTTTCAATTAAAAAAAACAATTTTTTTTCCCCCAAAGCTTATCAAATCATAAACAATTTATGTAGTAGCAAATTATGGTATAATCCCAAATGAATCTTCGAATGAAAAGTCCAACAGAAAGTAAGAAATAATAATTAGCTTATGAAATAATTATTTCATCATTGGTAAGGCAATAATCAACTTTGTCATCGACGCTTTTTGAACGAGAAGAGCAAATCAAAATGATGAAAATAGCTGACCTAATGGTACTTACGTAAGTGAAATAATTAATCTAAGTCATACATACTTTCGTCTTTCTTAAAAATATACACTTATTGTGACCTTCTTAATCTATTAATCAATATCTTGTAGATTTATGTAAGTATTATCAGAATACATTTTCTAACCTAAAGAAATATAATATTCATGCTTCAAGTACTTGCAGCCCCTATTTCAAATCTCTCAGCAATTAAGATGGAACTTATTTACAAATGTAATAATGCATTGAAAATTTACATAGATTGCCATTTGATACACGCGCTTAAAATCTTCGGAGCTGAAGCGACAGGGTTCTTTTTCGGAGCTGGTTTTTCTTTGAGAGCGGGCTTCTCTTCTTTGAATGTCCCTGGAATTCCGAAAGGTTCTTTGACAGTTCTTGATTCAACATTTCACAATTTTTTTCTATTTTTAAATTGTCTTGTTACCAAAAAAAAAAAAAATCCAAGGTTACTCGTTAAATTAGCAGGGTAATACAGCATATTTCAGGAAATTTATTTAGCCGACCTTATTGCGTAATTTCTTTGACAATCCAACTTGCATATTGTTATTCATGTATAATTTGTACCAGCTGGTTAATCCGTATCATTTGTACTATCATTAATTATTTGTACAGAAAACTGAATTCAGAAACAATGAGTAAACATATAAAGAAAATAATGGCAGATTATTCAGTTTTAAATTGTTTTTATAACTTCATGTGATCAAGTATGAACGAAAAAATAGCGTAAAAAAATGGTGTGATAATTGTGATATTATAGCAAAACGATAAGATATCAAGTCACAAATTAGAATTATTTTATTATTTATGATTGATGACTATTAGCATATTTAATGCTTAAAAATAAAGAAAATATAAAATATTAATTTTATGCTCAATCATTCAAGAACAATAAAAAAAAAAAAAGATATTTAATGGTCGATAATTTTTTATTTATTTATTCAGATTAGAGAATATTATTTTTATCCGATGATATTTTCGTATATATCATTTATAAAATTAAATCCCATGAGAATTTATTTCAATGAAATTAAATCAAATGGCGTTATGGATTTTGATACACAAGAATGGGGATTTAAAATCGTATATGGTTTACAATGATTACAATGATTTATTATGCATACTTGTTATACGTAAACATTTCGGAGTTTGAAAATTATATTTTTGGAAAAAATTTTTGTAGATTAATTATGAGACAAGTGAGACAAGATTAAACGAATGAAAATAAAAAGAGTTAGATTGATTACGTCGATTTTAGAATGATTGGTAAATATTGAGAACAAAAGCAACCAATGGTGTTTAGCCGCGTTGTTGGTTATGTAACCTTATTGCATTGTGAAAATTTCGGTTGTGGAGTGATACAACACTACGCCACTCTGATAATTAATTAAAACCTTAATAATATACTAACCTAAAAACAAAATAATATCCTAAATTTGTTTTCATTGATTAGTATATTAAGGTTGATACAACTGACAAGTGACCAATTATAACATTGGCTTTCCCGAATTAATAATAAATTTTTCATTTGAAGCCTGCTAGAAACAAGGAAGGTTCTAATGACGTTCCGTTTTTATGTATAACTACAGTATTCATTTGCAAAATCATGATAAATTTCTTGTCATGTTTCACACATATTTATACATTTAAATTAATTGCATAGTAATTTTTATTTAAAATTTTTAAAATAAATAACATATTTTACAAAAAAATAGATTTTATCATTTCGGCCGACGCTGAGCCACGTTTAAAGTGATGACCAGCTGATCCAGATGATCATACTGTAAACTTATTAAATGCGGATATATATTATTTTTAAATGTCGATTAATTTATAACGCTAAAATAATGGTGGGTTAATTATATTACACATTTGATCTTCTGATAAAGAAAAACTTCATTATTAATATTTTACAGTAAGCAAGATTTTGGATATGGTATCAATCAAATGTAAGATATGTCGGTTGAAAGTTAATCATGGAATGGTTGAATTAATTAAAGTCAAGATATTTGAATTGAAAGATATAATAATTTTGACATTAGAAAAAACCTGAAATCATTTCCTGTATCTGGTAGTTAACCCATGTAATATTCCATCCATCTACGTCATCCTATTCACCCCTACATTTTCCTTTTTTGATTACCTTTTTGTAACACTGATGATTTTGTAACACTGCTTATTTTATTTAGTGTTTATTGTTAACAGTTGAGCTTGTAATTAGAATAAATATTAATTTATTATATTGTAATTGTTTTTAAAAGAAGCAGTAAAAAAATTATAATTACAAAGAAAATATTCTGAACGATTCTTCTTAAAAATCAACAAGAAACATACTATAGTCGAAATTAAGGCGCAGTAAGTAGGCGCAGCTAACTGATGATGAAATGACAAGATTTTAGTGTCGGTAAATGCACTAACATTTTCGTTAGCGGTATCATATAAACAGATAAAAATATAAAATATAAGTTTCTTAATATTATGACATTCAGTGAATGTTAAAATTTATATGAACAAGTAAATTTCCTTACTACGCCCGTTAGAATATAATCCGGGAACTCCGAAATATTTATCTGGAATAGTAAAACGCCATATTTTTAGTATGACAAATAATTTGTAAAAAAAAATTTTATAAATAGTTTTCTTTGTTGAATGATTGTCAAAAAAAATTTTATATTTGGTGTGATGCACTACTGATATATATAAATAGGGTTAACCATTAGGATTCCTTGAGAATATTTGAATTTTTTATATATATAACAATCTTTATTTTTAAGAATTAATATATTTTTCAAGTAATTCACACGGAGTTTGTAATAAAATTAATTTTTAAAATAAAAATCAATAATAAAAAAAATAAAATTGCCAAAAGTAGATAACAATCACGATTTAAAGTTCAGCAGATCTTAGACATACAAGGCCTAGCTTAATCCATAATAGTAAATAGAACACTTCGGATGTAACCCTGAATTCTGTAAAAAGAAAAAAAAAATTTTTTTTCTTCAAATAAATATTCTAAATTTCTTTCAAATTATATAAACATGTGTGACCTGAAAATGCGGCCGAACGTATTATTTATTAGATTTCACAAATATTTTATATTTAAAAACTTATCAATAATTAATTAATACTATACTATACAGTAAGACAAATTAAAAATTATTCCAAATAGCTAAAATCTAAAGCCCATTCAAAATCATCCAGGATCATATTGTTTTCAACTTCTGGTGTTGTTGTTGAAATTTCTGTTTCTGTTGGTTGAAAAAATAATGAATTAAAATCATCAGACATTGGAGAATTTAAAGGGTCAATTTCATTTTCACAATTAACTACTCTTTTTGTTTGATTTTTTTGATTTTTTTTATATTTTTTTCTTGCACTCCAAATGTTCTTTAGGTCGTTTCGAGGCCTTAATTTCCCAAACTTTTCTTTCATGTTAGTTTGTAATGTTTTCCATGAAATCTTTTTAACATTAGCGTCAATTTGTTGTTCGACCCATTCATAAATGTAGTCCCTCTCGTAGGAAGCGATGGGTATATCGCTAAGTAAACATACTATATAAAAAAAAAATATTATTTCAAATATTATTTCTTTTTTTTAATAAAAAAAAATATATGTTGTAATTCCTTACAATTAGGATCAAGCTTATTAACCCAGCTAAAATTTACATTTATAAAATGGAAATTATTCGGTATAAGTTGTAATATTAAAATTTATTAAAGAAAAAATTTCAAATCCATTAGCTGATAAACTTACAGATTATATATTTGTTTTGAGTTATAGGGAACAATTTTGCTCAATTGAGTCAACGGTTTTCGATCAATTTTTCCCCCACTGATGTATCGCTGCATATGTTCAATAATAATCTTCTCGCTCTGAAAAAAAAAAAATGAAAAAAAAGTTAGAATTAAAATATTAAATTAAATTCCTAATTATTTAACATACATCAAGATCAATCTTAGATTTTTTGCTTTGACGATTCATAATTTTATGAATTTAAAATTTTAATTTTTTTATTATTTTGAATGTTCCATTTCAACTATATTTATATCTTAAATTCTATATAGCCATGAAAAAAAACCTATTACACAATCACGCAGATATTAAAACTGACTAAACATATAACTACGTATAATGATTTTTTTTATGACATTGATAAATAGCCATTATGAAATAATTCTTTGAGTTATCATCTTTGATACTTGTCAAAGGCTGTAAACTCTTTTAATATGCATTGTTACGTTTTTGTCTAATATTATGAAAATCGGGGTACTGCGGATTCTGCACTTCAATATAACGTACGGATCAAAGAAAATTAAACTGAAAAATAAGAAAGAACGAAATTCCGATATGGAAACGTCATATAAAGTAACTAAGTTTTTTCTCAAGTTCAAGCCATAACATTGATATGTGTTAATGTATCGTTTTTTCTTTTATTTTACGTAAAAAAATAAATAATGACAATTTTTTAATTTTTTTTGTTTGTTGTGTGTACGACCATGTACGACCATGTACAGAATACCACTTGATCATGATGTCTTTTATTATGTTACATCATGCATCTCTGTCAATATGCTGGTTTTGGCATTTTAACAAAGTAACAAGAACATAAATTAACAGAGTATTCCACGGAAAGCCAGATTTGAAATATAAAATAACAAAATTACCTTATTTCTGGAAAAAAAATAAGACCGTAATTGTAAGGGTCATGTGCGATGATCAGCATATAAACAATATCAAATATATTGATGAGACCAAAAATAGTAAGATCGCAAGCATGCACATTTTTAATTCTACACAATGATAAAACGTAATCTAGTGATTCGGAGAACATTTCCGTCTAAAATTATTAATACTTGTTATTTTCTAGTTTTTTTTTTTTTAGTTTTTTTTTATTGGTCGTTAGATAATTGGTTTAGGAAGTTCATTATTGAAACGCCAAGTCTTATGAAGTAATTTTTGAATGAGAAGTTACAAAATAATTTGCCAATTTTGGTCGCTAATTTATTGTTATTTATGATAAATTAGTAGCATTATTAATCGCTTATTATATTTTACATGTAATGAACTTAAAAAAATAGCCTCCGATCCTGGTCTTTTTTATTCCACATTTCATCATTCAAAACACATGCACGAATTGTCAGGCACTGAACTTTAAAATTTTTTAAACGTATTACGATAAAATGTAATTTGATTGGTTCGGAAAGTAAACACCGTTCAAATTTATTTATAAAAGTTCTTATTTATGCAACACATACATTAAAAAAAAAACGAAATGATGAAACGCCAAAATCTTTTGTGTATTTTATAGATATATTAACGTTTAATTGAATGAAACATTTTTTTTTTAGAAATGTTAAAAAAAGGAAATTCGTGGCATCTACATGTGAAGCAAGCTGCATGCTTTACATATGGTAAATTTTGAAAATAACGTTCCAATCTCCGGTTGTTTTTTTAATTCTACTTTAGTTTTTTACCGAATTTTACCATATTTCATAAATTCTTGTTTTTTTTTTTTTTTTTAAAAAAAAAATTCTATTAAATTAGTTGATTCATCAATTCTCCAGTTAATATATTCACGTTCACGGCAAATTATGAAATACGAGCCGATAATTTTTTGGTCGAGACTCAAGATTTACACACTGCATGAATGACTTCTTATTCATTTTATTGATCATTTGTTTGTTGTTGTACATTTTACGCCATAATTCCATCTCATACATAAATAGCATAAATAGACAAAAAAAAGACCAAGTTTCATCTCTTAAAAAAAAAAAAAAAAAATGGCAAGGCTTAACAAAGACGTAATGCTCCTAATATTGGAGGAATTGCAAAATGATAACAAGACTCTTTATTCATGCCTTTTGATTAATAGGACTTGGTGTAAAGCAGTTACTCCAATTTTATGGAAAAATCCCAATAGACAAGATATTAACGAACGTGTTTTCTTTAATGTAATACTTTCACATTTGTCGGAAGAATCAAGAAATAATTTGATGAACCAAGGGGTTAAACTTATTGCACAACCATATCAGCAAACTCTTTTTAATTATATCAGATTTTGGAAATACTTGGATCTATGTTTTTTAGATCGCATCATGCACGATTTTTTCAAATACCCTGAGTCCAAAATTTATATTGTAGGAAATGAAATATTGAATCTATTTAATATGAATACAAAATTTATTTCTATTGCTATCCACAAGCTATCCCATATTTATATTACAGGAACTGAGCATTGTTTCTCAGAAATTTCAGAACTTGAATACTTTTTTTGTGATATTGAAATCAATAGTAATGTTTTAGAGAGATTGGCTATGATAAACTCATCAATTAAAAAGTTGAGATTTGAAATCAATAACATCACGAAAAATCCTGGAATCATTAGATTAATTGAAACTCAAAAAAACCTAAAGGAGGTTATCGTCAACTCAAATAATTTATTTAGTAATGAGTTCTATTGTAAATCACTTGAAGAATCACTAATTAATTGTGCAGATACTATCCAGTATTTAAAAATAGATTGGATACCTACTACAAATTATCTTTCTTACCTCGTAAATTTAGTAAGTTTAAAAATACAAGGTGCTCGCAATGCAAATTGGTTATATTTAGAAAATGTATTTTTACCTCATTTAAAAATTCTTAAGGCTCGATATATCCCATCTAGAATTTTAGCCAATTTAATTGTAAATACAAAAGGAAAGCTTATTGAAATCAGAATTCTTTTCCAACATTCCAAAGATAATGAAAAGCTTATCCAGGCAATTTATAGAAATTGTCCAAATCTTAATTATCTTCAATTATCATTGAATGATATAAATATTGCAGAATTTGAAAAGATATTAATTCACTGTAGATTTTTAATTGGACTAGAAATTATGGAATCAAATGGTTTTTATCCTTATAACAAACATGATTGGAGTAAATTCATGAAAATATTAGTGAATTCTTCTTCAACTAATTTGTTCAAGTTTAAATTTTTTACTATGAATGTAGAGAATATGATAGAAGCTTTAGAATTATTTCTTGATGGTTGGAAGGATAGATGTCCTATAAGATTGAAAACAATTCCATTAAAATATGAATCGTATCAACTGCAGCAATTAAAAGACCTATTACAAATGTATAAGGTAAAAGGTATCATTAAAAATTATAGCGTTAATAGTAGTATTGACGAAATTGAATGTATCCAATTGATTAATTGATTGAATGGTTGAAGCAAACGAAAAATGGAGACATCCTGTCAAGATCTTTTCTTTTAAATTTATCGTATTTTTTATCTAAATTCTTTTCTTCTATTACTTTTATGTTTTTACCTAAATTTTTTTTTTCTATCAATTTTTATGATTTTATCTAAATTTTTTTTTTTCTATTATTTTTATGATTTAATTCTTTTCTTCTATCATTTTTATGATTTTATCTCAATTTTTATATAAATAAATAAATATTTGTATTCATAAAAAATAAAGTGTCTTTTTATGTATGTCATTTAAAATTTGGTCATATCGATGATGTATTAATATGAGTAATAAAGAATTAAATAGAACGGTTATGGTACATTTCGCCAAATGGATGTTTCGTCGAAGGGATGTTTCAACGAAGGGATATTTCAAAGAAGTGATGTTTAACGAAGAGATGTTTCAACGAAGTGATGTTTAACGAAGGGATGTTTCAACGAAGTGATGTTTCAATAAAGTGATGTTTCAACAAAGTGATGTTTCAACAAAGTGATGTTTCGCCGAAAGTACATTTCATCGAATCCATTTCACCGAATTGTCACCGAATGGCCAAAAATCAACACGCAATGAAGATAAAAAATAAAAATTCTTATTTTAAATATTTTTTTCCATGATATTATCATTTTAACATTCAAGTAACTGATATTAATCTTTTTATGCAATAAATTCACGAAAAAGTAAGTAAAAAAAAAAAAGATTAATATATTATAAACAACCAATCTATGAGAATGAGATAAATCATCTAATTCAATAATTTTTTTAGATATAAAGATTTCTCTATATATTTAGTATTAAGGCAATAAAATAACCAAGTGAAATAAATAATTTTTTGGCGAAACATTATATTTGGCAACGCAAAATGTTCATTTGGCGGTGAAATGGTTTTAGCGAAGTGGAATTCGTTGAGATGGAGTTTTGGCAAAACGGTATTTCCTTTCGGTGAAACACCTTTTTGGCAAAGCATCTCTTCGAGCGAAATGGCTTCGACGAAGTAGATTTTGGCGAAAGTAAATAAATAACAAATTTTTTTAAAAATTATTTTGTAAAAGATAAAAAATGATGTACTTCTTGTAGTTACGTAACACATGTGGAATAGCATATGTAAAATCTAATATCATTTATAAGATTGCGTGAACATAGTAAGTTATTAAGTGACATAACAAAATTACATTAATGCTAAGTCCTTTTAATATCCTGTCAATGTAATGTATTTTATAATAACTGAACATCAAAGTTTATGTAATAAAAAAGATAATATTGTACTAAAATCTGTTAGGAGTAATTTTTGTTATTTATTATTATTAGCATTAAATATAATATACATTTCAACGAATGCTAACGCCCAATAGCTGGCATATTTTTAAGAAACTAATACTTTTGTGATTTTATGTAAAAAAATTTGTTATAAATAAAAATTCGAAAAAAATATCTCTTTGGCTTTTAAGTGTAAATAAACCATTGCTTTTAAAGTGTCAGTCTATAAACCGTTGCTTTTTTTAGTTTAGTGATATATTTTTTTTAGATGATCATGTGAATATAACGCTTCGGACGCTCAAACAGTTCCTGTTACCTAGTATAATAAATTAAACTTTCCTATTTTTATCAATAAATTAATAGGTAAATTTTTTAATTTGGAATTATTAAATTATAAAGTGAAACTCTAGCGTCTAAGTTCAGTATGAAAATCACCATCAATTTGTACTGCTGCAGTACCAATCGATATACACCTGTAAAAATACAACTATATAGTAAATACCTAACTACTAGAAAATATATTACATTATAACCAAAACTTACGTTAACTAAATTTGCGTTAACTAAAAAACTTATTTTGACTAATTTTATGTCTGTGTGCAGTACACCATACGTTAAAATTTCGTGTCAAAGTACTGTACCATCCGTTGAGTTAGTAGTAAACTAGATCTTAAGCACCTTAAAAACTAGTACTCCTAATAATATACTATTCAATTTCCCACATGGACACAATTCACACAACCCACAGACAGTTATCCTTTAGCAATTTGGCAAAAGCAGAGTTCGGCTAAATTTCTTCCCGATGATTGTTATATCAGATAAATTTATGCCGATCCTTTTTTTATCTATCTAAATTAAATTAAGTGGTAGGTAACACCAATTTTTTTTTATAACCATGACACAAACTTGCTCCTTGATTATATCGGATAAATTTATACCGATCCTTTTTTATCCTCATTAAGTATCCAAATTAAATTATGTGGTGGGTAACACCAATTTTTTTTTTTATAACCGTGGAATTCTTTTCCGCACCAAATTTTTTTTTATAATCGTGGTTTTTTACAGATTTGACACAAACTTGTTCTCAACAGAATTTACATTATAAAAATGAGCTTTATTAATGAAAACCAATTAGTATCTGATAAAAATTCTAATCCCGTAAAAATTGATCATGAAAATTGTTATAACCCAGATAATAAAAAATATTGGTGTAAAGAATGTGTTCCTCGTTGCATAATTGAAGGATGGACTAGTGGAAGTGATGATATTGATAATTTTATCAAGGATACGATTTATGATGCATGTGAGAAATATGTTGGTGAATATAAATATGGCCCATCATTTCTTGAATGGGTTCCATTTGATAGATTTAAAGATATGAAAGAAATAGGTGAAGGTGGATTTGCAAAAGCGTATTCTGCAACTTGGACCGATGGTGATGCAAAATACACTAAACAAGATGATGGAAATTGGATAAAAAGAGAACCTGCACCTTTGGAAATTGCTTTGAAAAGGCTAAATGGATCACAGATTATATCACCTGGTTTTATAAATGAGGTATTTTTTTTTTCATATGTATTTATTTATAATTTTAAAAACTATAAAAATATATTTAATTTATTTTAATCTGTATAATAGCTTAAAACACATTGGAAATTAAATTGCTCACAAAGTAATTCTTTAAAATTTTATGGAATGACTAAAGACCCAAAAACTAAAGAATTTATTATGATTATGCGATATGCAACAGATGGAAATTTGAGAAATAAACTTGCAAGTAATTTTAACAAAATTTTATGGAAACCAAAACTTAATTATTTACGTGAGTCAGCAATGGATCTTTCAAATTTACATGAATTAGGATATTTTCATGGAGATTTTCATAGTGGAAATATATTACATATTGGCGAAGGAACTTTTGTGTCAGATTTTGGATTATCTGGACCATCAAATGAACAAAAATCAGATAAAAAAGTATATGGTGTATTGCCATATATTGCTCCAGAAGTTTTAAATGGAAAACCATATACATTATCTTCAGATATTTATAGTTTTGGCGTAGTTATGGCTGAAGTATCATCTGGAAAACCACCTTTTTATAAAAGAAATCATGATAGTAGTTTAGCATTAGAAATATGTAATGGACTCAGACCAGGATTTGGAAAAGGAACTCCTGAAATTTATAAGAAATTAGCTCATAGATGTATGAATGCTAATCCAAATCAAAGACCAACAGCTATTGAATTACATAATATATTAGATGATTGGGTGTGTTATAGTAATAATGAAAAATATGGATATAAAGGAGAAGAAATTAAAGCTGTATTTGAAGAAGCTGATAAAGAAATACTAAATATTTCAACCTTATATGAAAAGAAACCTGATGCTATTTATACTAGTAGAGCATTTACATTTAAAAATTTGTCAAAACCCATTAATTCATCTTTTATTGGTACTACATATCTTAATGAAGAAGGTAATAAGATATCATATTTTTTAAATTTTATAAAATAATTAAGATAATAATAACCAATTTTATTTATTATAATAGATTGTCAAGATTCTCAATTAATCAACTTAAAGATTTCTAGCATATTAATATTAGAAGGTAAATATAATTTACTATATATTTATAATATTAATTTTACAATGATAAAAAATATATTAATGCTTTATTACTAACTTTTATTAATAGATGAAGATAATGATAACTAAATAATATTATTATTTTCATTTTATATTTTATTTTTTTTTTGGAAATTACTAGTTATAACCTATTATATTGCAACAAAATTAATAAGTTTAAATCAATATAACAATAAAATTTTTAATTTATATTTAGATAAATTGTTTATTTAATTTTTGATTTACTGATCACATGCAGAATTTTACTATGTAATTTTTGAGTTAACAGTTAATCTTTATAATAAAATGCATTTATAAATACAAATCACCTAAATAAGGCCATACAAACTTGATTTTATGGTTTTCATAATATAAAAATTTCATCAATAACCCGGCAACCCGGCTTTTAATTTTTTTTTCAAAAATTTTATATGCGAAATTTTTTTTCAATTTTTAAAAAATTCTCACCTGGCATAGTAATAAGGGGATGGCCAGAAATGACGTAATTTAAATTTTAGGATTTTTGACCCCCCTCCCTCCCCATGTCATCATTCATTTTAGGAAATGTAAAATTAAAACATAATTCTGGCTAGAATTATATTAACTACAAGTGTCTAAAAATGGAAGATGTGTAACATCATCATGGTCTTAACCCCCCTCCCCCCTTAGAAAATGACGTCATTTCTGGCAGTTCCCTAATATAAAAAAATTTTTTTTAAGACTTAACAAAACTGACCCAGCCAGACTATGAAAACCATTTTTACTACTTTGTGTCGTTTAAGTGATTATAAAAATCTTTTATAAAATGATTTAAATTAGCTGAAATTTTTATAAATAAACAAAAAAAATTATACTTTTAATGTGTTTGTTTAATTATTTACTTTAGAGAAACTTCAAATTCTAGCAAATTTCTTATATATAATATTTATTGCAATTCAATTTCATAAAATAAACAGCCTTATATATTTCTTTATAAAAAAAAATATAATAAAACTTTATTTTAATTTTAAGTAAAGCTCCGAACGGGTCAGTTCGGTGCCGTTTTAGTAAGGAACTGGATCTGAACTGAAAATCCCATCCGGTTTCAGTTCGGTTTTCTGATTTAGACCCAAACCGGAACTGGAACCGAATTTTTAATCTGAGCTGAACCGATATTATCGGTTCAGTCCAATATCAATTAGATGATCTAAAGATAATCTTTTTTTTTTAGTAACCTCCTTCTGCCAATTTTCTTATGGAGGCTTAGTTCTTCACGGAAAGGTCCTTTAGGTTTTTGGCTTTTCTGCTCTTCACGGTTGGTTTTTTTTGTTTTGATTTTTTTTTGGTTTTCTTTACTAATTTCGTTTGTCTTCTTTCTTTTTTTAAGTTTCAGTTCTTTGCATTTTTCACAGAAAGATGTGCGTTTCTTTTTTTTTTATTTTTCGGTTATTTTTTTTTTATTTCCTTTGCTAATTCCGTTCGCTTTCTTTCCTTATTTTAGGTTTTTGGTTCTTGTTCTTCGTGAAAAGGCAGGTGATTAAAAT